AATGGCCAGGCTTGGTGGCTCAGCCTGTAATCCCAGTGCTTTGGGAGGCTCAGGTGAGGGGATTGCTTGAGCCCGCGGATTTGAGACCCGCCCGGGCAACTTGGTGAGACCTCATCTCTATAATAAATCAAAAATTAGCTGGGTGTGGTAGCGCGCGCCTGTAGTTCCAGCTACTTGGAAGACTAAGCAGGAAGGATCACGGAAGCCCAACAGGTCGAGACTGCGGTGGCTGGGAGCGTGCCACTGCACTCCAGTCTGGGCGACGGAGTGAGACTCCAACTCAAACAAAACAAAACAAAAATAATAATAATAACATCAGCACTTATGGACCTGCTCATGGCATTTGATATAATTTGTTAATCTGAAAGAGAAATCCATGTCTCTAAAGGCATGAGATTCCCCCAAAACAGAAGGCCTCAAAGTCAGCCTCTCACTCTACCACTACTTGTTCATTCAACAGTATTTATCAAACATTTACGATGAGTAGGATATGACTTGAGAGTTCAATCTTTGGAATAGGGCTAAGTCTCTCCTATTGTCCTTAGTGGCTTTCTTCAATAGTGACTTGCTCAAAAGAGTACACTCAATCATTCTGAATGTGAAAAACACTGGAATATAATCAAGTCAACAAATCAGATCAAAATCTTAATTCTACTCTTACCCTGGACAATGAAAATGTTGTAAAATGGTAACAATTGGTGAATACAGGTAAAGGATGGATGGATGTTCACTATAATGTTCTTTCAACTTTGTGTAGGCTTGGAGTGTTTCAAATTAATATGTTTGGAGAAATAATCAAAATAAAAAGGCAGAATAAAGCCATTCTGTGGGAACTAAAAGGAAGAAAACCACCTCTCTCTAGTCAGCCAAGCAGGAGAAGCACCCAGAAGCACCCAGCACTGGCAGCCATGCCTGACCCACCCCCCACTCCCCCAGCTCTGGCCTATCTTTGCTTGCAGGTCCTGGACTCCCAGCTGTGAAATCACTGCTGACTCTGGGCAGAACATGTAGGACCTTCCCTCCTCCTGTCCTTCTTTTGAAGATCAAAACAAACAACAAAACCATGCAAGGAATTTACACCCATATCCCCAAAATAACAAATGGCAGTTTATGTTTAAATCTCGTATCTTTACCCTTCCTTTAATTATATAAAAAAAGTTTATATAATATTGTGAAAGCCTCCTTCCCTGTATTCCCCTTTCCATTAGCAACTGCCCTTCCTCCCCAGAGACAATCATTATCACTCACTGCTATCACCTCTTGTTTACAATCTGTCTCAACCTTAACTGTATTATTTGTTATTCTTATTAATTGAATTTCTCCTATTTTGCTACCTTGCCATGCCCTGCTTTCCACCTAGAGGCCTCAAGTATTCTGCTAACAGGAACATAAGCCTGCTTGGCCACAGTACCTGCCAGGTTCCCACCATGGTATACTTGTACACTTATTATGCCCTAGGTCTGACCAAGCCCCAGTAGGGCACGTCTCACACCCAGAAATCTCTCAAGAGGCCTTTTGAGACAAGGAGAGGAATATTTTTATATCACACAAAAAGTGAATCATAAAGAGCTGAATCATTATTTTTGCGAAGAAGCATGTAAATAATATAGTCTACCTAGAGAAGCGAGCATATCATGCAAATCTTCCTTGTCGATGAAACCATCTCTGTTCTGATCAATCATATTGAAGGCCTCTTTGAACTCCTGGATCTGTGACTGGTCAAACATGGCAAATACATTGGATGTTGCGCGCTGAGGGCGCTTCTTGGTGGTCTTGGTCTTTGCCTTTTTGCTTGACATGGTGGCTGTTTAATTCTGGAGTTAAGAAAGAAAGAAATAAAACAAAAAGAATACAGAAAAAATACAAAGCAAAAAAGAACACATGCCTAAAGTTAGTAAAAAATCTACATTAAATAACTTAATAGAAGATTATTACTTCAATTGAGTAGAAATAGGTACACATCTAAACTTTATTTTCCAAGTGACAGTTGTCTGGAAAATTGCTTCGGGGGAAAAAAAGTAAAGTTTTAAAAGAATTAAACAGAATAGGCTGGTCTGGAAAAGTGAGTTATCTTAATTGATTGTTCAGTATAGATCAAACTCCTTGTTCTACTCTTTTCCCTCTTCCCACTACAGTATTTGACTAGTCTTAAAAAATGAAAGAAACAGAGTAGAAATCATTCATGAATTTTCCCCTCAAATTTCATGAGACCAATTTTTATTAAGTGAGAATGAGTTTAAAATATACAAGAGCTAGCATTTATGGAGTACTTACTCTGCGCCAAACACAGTTATGAAGGCATGGGGCTTCCCCAATAGAAAGGCTCCCAAGCTCATCTCTTACAAGGACTGTCCCCATTGAATCCCCATAGCAATTTCTGCAGTAGGTACGCTTGCTATTGCTATTTTACTACCAACATAACATAGCCTTGCTGAGCCTGTTTCTTCATCAGTAAAACATGCTCTCTATCTCCATGCAAGGTAAGTCTAAATGAGATAATGTCCATGAAGGGACTCGTATAGTCAGCATCAGTACATGTTCTTATTTTATTTTTTTGAGTCAGAGTCTCAATCTGTTACCCAGGCTGGATTGCTGAGGCACGCTCATGGCTACTGCAGCCACGACCTGCTGGGCTCAGGTGACCCTTCCACCTCAGCCTTCCAATTTGCTGGAACCACAGGCATGCACCACCACACCCGGCAAAGTTTTTTTGATTTATTGTAGACACGAGGTCTCTCCATGTTGCTCAGGTTGGTCTCGAACCCCTGAATTCAGGCAATCCTCTTGCCGCCACTTCCCAAAGTGCTGGGATTACAGGCGTGAGCCGCCAAGCCCAGCTACGGTACATGTTCAAAAGGTTCTCATCTTTAAAAACAGCCTCAACACTTCTTTCATCCTGCCTCCTTTCTAGCTATGTCCTCATTTCCCCTTTCCCTTGACTAAACTTTCAGACAGCAGTCTAATACTGAACTGTCTCCATCTTCCCTTCTTCCCAATCACTCCTTGATTCTCTGTAATATGGCTTTGGGAGTAGCCTCCAACACTCTACCGAAAGCCATCAAAAATTTAAATGTTAAACAGAATGGACACTTTTCATTCCATTTTTTATTTACAATTTTAGATACTATAAATAAATAAAACACAAAAATACTATCAGCTTTGGAGTTAGGAACCTGAGTTCAAATCTCAGCTGTTACTAGCTACATAAAACCTCTGAAAATTCATGGGACCATATCAGATCTGTGAGTACAACAGAGTTCTGGAGTCAAATTATCAAACCTGAGGGTGGTCTTGGGACATTCAATCTTACAACTGCTGTCAGAAGTGAGGGTGGCCTTGAGGACTGTTTCCTACCTCTGCAGTGCCACAGTGTGAAAGCAGATGACTAGCCAGGTCAGTGACCAAGCAAGGGGATTTTAAACCCAAGTCTCCAGGACTTCCGGTCTTTGAATTTTTATGCATATATTGTCTACTTCTCTTTCTTTAATCTCTAAAGAACACCCCACTGGGCGTTTTGAAGCTTGGCTTAGTGGTGTAGTACTAAATGAAGTACACTAAGTTTATAGTCCTTCCTTTAATGTTCAAACTCTTCCTGCCATATACATGTCCTGAATAAACATATTTTTTTCTTTTTTCAGTAAACTTGTTGTTTGATCTTAGTTATACTGAAGGTTAAATGTGAGACAGAACGTGGTCCCCTAGCAAGGCACTTGACTATAGTTTAACTCTTCTTCACATATGAGAACTGTTAAAGTTTATTCTCATGATAAAAATTCTGACTCTTTCTTTAATATAGAATATAGGTCAGAAGGCCTGAAGGTAAGAATTAGTTTTTCTCACCCAGTATAGTATCAGCAAATCATATCTGAAATAGAGTCATTTGGAAAAACTTCCCAAAGAGTGAATCTTTGTTTAAAAAAAAATGACCAGTCAATTGCATCATGCTAACTCTAAGGCCAACCCAAAATACACTGTATTTAACATTTGTGAGGCTTATTCTGAGTTCTCCAGAAAGCTGACGCCAAGACAGGAATAAACACACTAGGATTTTATTAGGGGAAATGTCTGTGAGAAAGAATGGGGAGACAGCCTGATCTGCTAGAAGAACTATCAGATGGTGGCAAGTCTGACTGCCAAGTAAAGGAAGGAGGGCAGGCATGTTGACAGATGCGAACTGAGAGCAATTCACAAACTGGCCCTAATCAAAATGTTTCAGAGTAGATATAGGCTCAATGTAATAACACTATAATTTCTTTTTTTAAGTTTTTTTATTCATATACTTCAAGAACAATTAGTACATTTGTATATGTATATAGTACCCATAGAAACTACACACACATAATAAAATATCTGCTGAAAAGTGAGGTAAACTTGCATCAAAACAATCAACCTGAAGGGAACTCTGGCCCTCAAACAAACTCCCACCCTCTTTCTCCTTACCTTCTGAAATAAGAATCTTATTTTTTCCACATTCTCACTTCCCACTTGCTTTTCAACCCACCACAATCTGGCTTTTTCTTCTCTACTGCAACTGCTTTAATTGCCAAATCTGGTATAAATCTTTTTGGATCACTCAATCGTATTTGACACTGTTATCCCTCTTTTCTTCAGGAACTCGGTAGCTCCTGGCCTGATGCTCAGTAATGACAGCAGAAATGAACTGTCCCACATGGAAATGGAGTGCAAGGATCCCAACCTCGAAGTATACTCTAATGGGGGAGGCTCCTAAATATGATACTGGAAAGATTGGTTTGTGTAAAATGCTGTATTTGATTTACTCTGTCTCCAGTTTCTATGACTGGTCCTTCTCCACTTTCTTCTTAGATGGTTATCTCCACTCACTTACATATTCATACTTTCCAGTAAACATGACTTAAAGTTCTTTACACTCCTTGTTTTCCTTGGATGACCTCATTAACTCTTACAGTTCTGATGACACCTAGAAGTCTGAACCTCCTGGTCTGACATTTCCCTTGTGCTTCGGAATCAAACATCCAATTGCCTGTGAAGAACAACCATCAGATATCCCGACACCTCATAATCACCAAGTTGAAGACAGAATTAATTATCCTCCTCCTCCTGAACTTTGCCATCCTTGTTTTCTACCCACTCAACAGAGCCAGAGACCTGGGCACCATCCTCCATAAATGATGAATCAAGCCCTGTCTCTTAAATGTTTCTCTGATTTGCTCATCCTCCTCATTCCTCTGCCACCACCCTAAATTAGATCCTCATATTCCCTTGGGTGAAGTATTTCTGTGGCCTCCTCCCTAGTCTCCTTGCCTCTTTGTTAAAAACTACCCTTCATTTTTTTTTTTTTTGAGTTGGAGTCTCACTCTGTTGCCCAGACTGGAGCGCAGTGGCCGCTCCTGGCCACCGTAGCCTTTGCCTGCTGGGCTCTGGTGGTCCTTCCACTCAGCCTTCCAAGTAGCCGGAATTATAGGCACGCACTACTACGCCCGGTTAATTTTTTATTTATTGTAGAGATGAGGTCTTGCCAAGCTGCCCAGGCGGCGGGTCTTGAACCCGCAGGCTCAGGCAATCCACTTGCCTTGGCCTCCCAAGTGCTGGGATTACAGGCTGAGCTACCGAGCCTGGCCTACCCTTCATATTCTAGTCAGAGGTGTCTAAAAGCATGAACTCTTCTTTGGCTCTCCACTTCCTAAAGGATAAAGTACAAGTTCCTTTTTTTTTTTTCTTTCCGTTGGTGTCTCACTCCATTGTCCAGGCTGGAGTGCAGTGGCACATTCACAGCCACCCCAGCATCGACCTGCTGGGCTCTGGCCATCTTTCTGCTCAGCCTTCCAAGTAGCCGGAATTATTGGTGTGTGCTACCACACCCGGCTAATTTTTTGATTTGTTGTAGAGACAAGGTCTCACCAAGTTGTCCGGGTTGGTCTTGAACCCGCAGGCTCAGGCAGTCCTCTCGCCTTGGCCTCCCAAAGTGCTGGATTACAGGCTGAGCCACCGAGCCCAGCCAAAGTACAAGTTCTTAAGCAAGGCACACAACTCTTCCTTTGCCTGCTGAGAATAACCTTTCCAGCCTCAGTTCTAGCCATTCTCTGCTTTGTACTTTACTTCAGCAACACCAAACTGCCTGTAGGTCCCCCAAGGCACCATGGAGTTTCTCCCTCTTTGTTCTTGCTATTTCTCTAGCCTTAAATTTCCTGATCCACTTCTCTGCCTTAGGATCAGAAAGCAAATTAAAGGTCTACTCAACTTATAGCCATATATTGAGTGACTTGTGCTAGGCACATTATATGTATTAAATGAAAACATGCCCACCTGACAAATGAAGAAACTGAAGATCAAAGATATTAGACAATTTGCCCAAGTGGCAGAGCTAGGATTCAAATCCCACTTGTTTCTACCTATGTATTTTCTACTTTACACTAAATGCTCTTCTAGTGATTTCGAGTTTAATACAAATATTTTCATGATACCAATATAATTCAACACTGATTTCTGAGCAGCTATGTTCCTCTAAATTCATATCCTAAACAAACTGACTTTTCAAATAAATTCAGACTATATTGGAGAAACCAGTGTGCAGAAGAGAATTGCACAAGTGAGTAAAATATGAGTGGCATGCCCTAGTTGGGTTTAACCAAGTGGCAATATATCCTACCAGTCATGGTTTTCATTTGGAACCTTTGCCTAGGACTCTCAAATAATTAATGTTTAACCTAGAAGTGTTAAAACAACAACAGCAACAACAACAAAACCTAACACTACCTTAAACTGTAGTTACAGACAGAAAAACTGAATGTCTGGGAGTAGAGCCCAGGCATCTGTACCTTTTAAAATGCACCAT